ATGGCGATTCTGGACTAGGTTGCGCACCTGGTACTGTCAAGAGGCCTGTAGACGACTCTTTGCGGAGCTGATTAGAATGTTGACTCTGGTTGACTGGAGGTGACTGGTAAGACTGAGGTGTGTTTGGCGGGAGAGGAACTTGTTGCTGTACCGGCCGTCCAGCTGATTGACTGGTAGTAGTTGGCGACATGGGCGGTGATGCTATCGACTGCTTAGGGTTTCTTGGTAATGGTGACCCTAGTGGCCTATCGGTAGGTCTGGGGCTGGAAGGAAGTCCTGGACTCATAAGTGGCGATGCAACACTCCGGTTGGCCATCATAGAACTATCCGAGTTGGCAGGGCTGAGAAGAGCATTGAGAGAGTTAGCAGGTGGGTGACGGGGAGAGAGTGGAAGGCCCGATTGCAGCGCATTGAACTGACGCGGCGAAAGGGGAACCGGGACCGCCTGAGGTTGATCGCCTGCTGGTGTTTCAGATGGCGTCGCTTGTTGTTTGCTCTTGCTTTCGCTTTTCTTCTTCTTCGACTTGCTTCTAGCTTCCTCGTCTTTCGAATACATAGCTTCGCGGACTCGATCATCTTCCTCCCGAGTCTTCCTCCTTCCTCGCAGCTCCACAACAGGTATCTCGTCCACTTCCAATGTATCATCGTAGTCTGAATCAACATCGTCGCCATGCACAGCTTGGTGGAGATGTGCGCTAGTCGTAATGGGTTTCGAGAGGTTGAGCGGAGCTGGCGGGGCCTTACGCAGAGGTTGTGGAGTCTTTCTGGGAGGTGATTCGAAACCGTCACCACCAATGACAGGCGTGGCCTGGATCAGCGATATCTGTGGAGGCTGGAGCTGTGAATCACTTGGGACTATCGTCACATCTGAGTTATTCTGGGGAGGCGTAGTCGGCTTCGAGGCCTGTTCTGGAGGTTGAACAGCATCACCGGGCTGCAGCAATGTGGCGTCGAGGCCGAGACCTTTGCTACCAAGGCTAAGGGGTTGTACGGAATAGTCAGTGGGCGAGTTCACAGCTGACGACAGATTCGATGCGGTGGAGTGAGACGGCGAGGTCGCTAATTGCGAGTCTGGTATGAGATGTGGCGCGGGGTGCTCTTGTGTCAAGGGCGATGTCTTGTGCTCCCCGGCTTTGGAGTCGCTGGGCCTAGCGGGCTCGCCAGCTGGCTCACTGAGGGCTGGCGACTGGCTAGTCTCGCGTTCCACGACCGAGTCGAAAGTGTCGGACTTCTGTAGTGAGCCAGGACCTGGTGGTACCTGTTCAGCATACTCCTTGAACTTCCTGCGGTAGCGGTCCTTGTCCTTCAATGCGCGCTCGAGATCTTTCTGCAGCCCAATGATCATGGACCGTTGCTTCTCGACCAGCCGCCAGAGCTGCGCATTGTGACTGGATGTGTTCTGCTTCTCCTTCCACAATGCCAGCATCGCAGCCTCTGGTGAGCCTGCCGTGGCTATCAGAGCGGCCATATCTGGTGGGTTCGCCGTGCTCGTATCTTGCGACGGTCGCGTCGCATGGTTGGCAGGAGGGCGGTTCTGAGAGGCGGTCGAAGATAGCGACGATGCTGCTGAATCTATTGAAGGGTTGCGGACAGGCACCGTCGGTCTCGTCTCAGGTCGGTTCGGCCGCGATGGTGGAGGCATGGTGACGGGTGACGCTGGTGGGGAAATTCCAGCCGAGGACAGCGTGGGTGACGACACCTGCCGGAGTTTTGCATACGCAGACGGCCTCGAAGGCTGCGTGAAATTTGGGGTGGGAACGTTGGGTGGTGTAGGCGGATGCGCTGGCTTGGTTGGGCGAATGGGCGAGGTATGATGTTGCTCCTCCGCAAGCAATGCGTCAAGCTTCTCGCGCGGACTGCGCGGTTCGTCAAAGCGTGGTGAGTCTTGATAGGACAACTGCTGATATGAGAGCCCGTTATTGCCAGCTGGGTACAACGGACTCGGGACGGGCTTGCGACGTGCTCGGATTTGGTGTTGCTCGTCCGCAGTGGCCGGCACGTTGTGTGGGCGCGTCGAATCGTCGCGAAGGCTGCGAATACTCTCGACGAGCGACGGCGAGGATAGAGAGTGGGAAGGCGACGACGGCTGGTGCTGAGGGATGTGATGTGCCGCTGGTCTTTCCTGAAGCATATGCATGTCTGTATTCGTCGCCGCCATGTTCAAGTCTCAAACGGGCTAGCCGACGACCGGGATATCTGGTCGACAGTATAGCAGATAGTTAGTGGGGATTAGTGTTTCGGTGACGCTCTGAGTGTCTGGTGAATCCAAAGCTGCCACGCTCAGCAGTCTCGTCAGCATCTGGGCGTCCCGCGCAGCTTGAGACAAGTCTCCGTCAGAAGGAGCAGCCGGAACAGAAGAGATTTGGGCTTGTAGACTGGTGGATTCTCATTCGGCGCCATAACCGCCCTTGTAGGAGCCGGGCCAAATTCAAGCCTGGTTCCTGCAGCAGAAGCGAGCCCTGGAGCCCTTTGTCTCCATGATCGCCTCCGTAGGCCTTGATGGCTGCGTCCCCTCACGTTTGAGATATGCCCAAAGCCATTTGCATCCTAGTCGACTACATGCCGGTGTAGGCGCCAAAAGTGTGCTTTGGGCTTCCCATTGGTCTAGCCCTGTGGCTTGCTAGCCGTAATCATCGATGAGCCATCATCCACTGACGGTCTTATGCAGAAACGACATGTCCGCGTGGTCTACTGTCGCTGGTGCCCGCAGTCAAGCTGACAGAAGCCTGACGAGCCGAATTTTGCAAAATACCCACCCATTGGCTGGAAAGTAGATGATTTGACATACGAGTCTTGAGGGTGTATTGGCTCGACGGCTCAGTAATTTGCGATTCATGGTAGACTCGAAGGTGCATTTCCGCCAGACATCTGGCCGTCAATTGGGTCCACGGGTCGTAATCATGTCTCTGGCGCACGGATAGCGTTCGAGTTCAAGGGCTGGGTCGCTGCAGCGAGAAGGATTCTCCAGGCCGAATCGAGGTTAGGCCTGTCGATCAGCTGCCATTGGCCCAATCCCTCGTGGCTGAATCAGCCGCAAGTCATAAACTTTCAAAGACGAACGCTGTCCGTGTGCCATGGTCAGCAAAAGCGCCCAGGTCATCCGCTCTGCACCGCGGCTGGATATTCGAGCATCTCAACAGCAAACACAGTCGCTTGAGACGCTCATCAAAATCGTACGATTCTTACCGACCTGCGATTACATCTGAAACTCATCCGCCGTCAAGCGAAGTGTGCTGCAGGGAGCCGCTGATAGCTCAACGACTAGCCCTTAACAGTCGACGCATGGTGATCACAAGCTGCACCTATGCTGCACGACTAAGCCAAGGGCTAGACTAACAATCCTTCTTTGCGACACTGTATCAGGGGTAAATCGAGTGGAAAAGGCCAAGAAACGGCTTTTGTTTTTCTGTTTCTGCACTAGTACCCGCAACGTGCCGTCAAGATGAAGTGTGACCGAAATCTGGAACGAATATCATCGTTTGTACGACTAACGATGCGCGGCGCAAGCAGCTCTTCTTCGCGCCTCGAGCACCGTTCGTCTTTCGACAGCATTCACACCCCCAACGTATGCAGGGTCAACCTGAGGCAGACGCGATCCCAGAGAGGTGGCGAGCATGATCCGGGACAGCTGTTTCCACGCGGGTTGCGTCAATCTGCAAGCCCTCCCCATGTCTAATTATACTTCGCATATCAAAGTTCCGAAAGGCAACGCCGAAGTATTGTGATCTTCACCACTGTACTTCCGCACTTTGCTTCCTTGCGGAAAACAAACCATCCAAGCTTAGGTAGATTGACACCGATTCTGGGTAGAGGCAAACATAGACTTTTCTACCATGCTCACATACAGAAGTGGTTGATGAATCCTGTCTTTGCTACAAACAGTAATCGCCTTTGGCGGTATCAATGCGTATGCATGCATGTGAGAGCTTCCGTTCGGCTTGCAAGCTCCCGTCCGACCGCTTCGTTACCGCCCAGGCCTACAGTTCCCGCCGTCAAACGTGGAGGAAAATAGGCCAGATGGAGAGACATTGCCAAGCTGGACGTCAATAACGCCTATCGGAACTTAGAGATTGTCTGCGCCATGGAGCAGATGCTGCTTGGGTATCCTAGCATGACTAACCCTTGCATGGCGGGTAAACGTCCATGATAACTCCCTCAAAACGTTTCGGCTTCCGCCCAGCGCGGAAGCACGTCCGCCCGCTTTCAGACACTGCTTTCAAGGTCGTCAAGAAAGTGTCGAGATCCGATTCGGTCTTTGTATGAGCAACGAATCTTTGTCTGGCAAGACGAACCCGGTCTTCGTGACATTCATTCCAATGTGCGGGCAGGAAAGGTACGCTGACTAAATGGTAACGAAGTGATTGGTCGATGTAGAGTACACCGTGCATAAGCTGAATTAGAGTTTCTGAGTAGATATTAGCAGTATATCCTTCCGAATACAGAAGCTGGTTTGATTAACTACTCGCTTTTTGGTAGGTATGCTGTTTCGACACCAACGGTGCACAGTCGCCATGCTTGCAAAACAAGGTAATATGTTGAGCAGACATATAATGCCGTTATCGCAGCATTGGGCCCCGGGTCCACGGCCACTATGTCTGCAAGAAGCTCACAATTTGCATGGTTATAAAAATCGTGATGACTAGTTAGATGCCATAGACTAGATCAGGAGGAAGCATCTGATTTTGGGTTTATGTTGTGACATGAATGAGACTGCCAATGTCCTGATGTTCCGCACCGGCCTTGACAGCACCATGACGGATACTGTGGCCTAAGAGTAGCCGGTATTCCAGGGCAACAGGCCTTACCCCAGAGTTCTACACTCTTGTTCTACTGTTCGAGCTTCAAGGCAGATTACTGTGTAAGCTCTTATGGTATATCCTCAACAGTAGGTACAGCCTATCAAAAACCAGCTCCTTCGTGGCCATCACTTTCGATTAACATGTTTGTCAGTCTTCTGCTTGCTACTGTCATTACTCCAAACATGTTTCGAAGAATTTTGAACCAAGGCAAGGGGCTGTGTAGATTGCAAATTCTGAACGATGAATGACAGCCTAGTTCTGCGAGAGATTTCCCATGGCCAGACCTTATAGCTGTTTATCGTCGAAACATGGTCCCGCTCTCTGTGTGGAGATCAAGACGTACCCTATGGTAACTAGAGTAATGTTGAGTCGTTAACGTGCTGTATATTCTCTTCAAACGTGTATCGTGGACACCATTTTATGCCCGCATACTGTACAATATTATACACTCGTATGTACGCTTCCTTCCACCTTACAATCCCACTCTTCCTGTACCGCCTCGTTCCATCTTGTTCAACCGTCGTGCAGTTGCAATCTATGACCATTAGCCCATATGCCCACCACAATCGTAGCCCCGCCACTAGGATTGAACATACCTGTGTTCTTGTTCTCTGACCCCTCACAGGCAAACCCATAGCATGCCTTCTTCCACGATATGTGCCCATATCCCTCAATCTCCGAATATCGTCCTGCACCTGCCGCCGCAAATCGTTCTCAATCTTCATGTTCGCCAGCTCGGCCGTCAGATCCATGACTGTCGCATTTTTCAAACTGCCGACTTTCGCCCACGGGTGGATGTAGAATTTCGCCATGATGCGCTGCGAGACCGAGGGCCCGATGCCGAAGAAGGATTCGAGGGACCGCTTGACGAGCGTCGCTTCCGTGAAGCTGAAGCCGTTGATGAACACCTGAAACCGTCAGTGAGTTGCACGCGAGGAGGATTAGGCGATCTAGTAGCGTACCATGGCGGATCAGCGTTCCGACGGCGAGTTCGCGTGTTGGAGTGTCAATTGTCTTGTCTGATCTCGAATCTCCAGACTTCCGTTTCTCACTAAACCCAAAAAGTACTAGTGCGACGGTGCGGGCAGTCCAGCTCTCTACCTAGGTAAAACGCAACGTTTCAACACCTCTCCACCATTGCACTCAAGCAGGGGGCTCTCCAAACTATTTAACTCTGTGACTTCCCTTGGTTGTTTCCCAACACAATCAGGCATCATGGCTACTTTCCAACGAGCCGTCATTTCGCTCCTCTTGATCCTCTCGATCACCTTTGTCTTCTTTGCTCAGAGCACTGAGGCTGCCAAGGGACCCAAGATCACCCACAAGGTATGCATAGCTCACAATTGACATGTGCACGGTCTTGCTAACTTCCACAGGTGTACTTCGACATCACCCATGGCGATGAAGAGCTAGGCCGCATCACCATTGGCCTTTACGGCAAGACTGTCCCCAAGACCGCCGAGAACTTCCGGTACGACCCCGTACAAACTTGTGTACAGCTTCGGGATCTAACACATGCGATAGCGCTCTGGCTACCGGCGAGAAGGGCTTCGGTTACGAGGGCTCTACTTTCCACCGCGTTATCAGCAACTTCATGATCCAGGGTGGTGGTAAGTACAATTCTTAGTACATCTCTAAGGGATTTGCAATGCTAACTCTGTTTTAGACTTCACCAAGGGTATGTCAAGATAAACCGAGCCCCGCAATCCACACACTGACAACGATTAGGTGATGGCACTGGTGGAAAGAGTATCTATGGGGCTAAGTTCCCCGATGAGAACTTCAAGCTCAAGCACACCCGCAAGGGTCTTCTCAGCATGGCCAACAGCGGAAAGGTAAGAAATACAATGTATGAACTGCACTTGAAACATGCACTGACCGTACATGGATGATCTAGGACACCAACGGCTCTCAGTTCTTCATCACCACCGTCGTCACCAGCTGGCTCGATGGCCGCCACGTCGTTTTCGGAGAGGTCCTCGAGGGCTACGATGTTGTGGAGAAGATTGAGAACGTGAAGAAGGGACCTGGAGACAAGCCGGCCCAGACCGTCAAGATCGCCAAGAGCGGAGAGCTCGAGGTGCCAGAGGAAGGTATTCACGCGGAACTCTAGACATCAGTACGCATTCTTTGCTATTGGGTCGACCCCTCAGGTTGGAGAGCTGCTGATAGTTGTGCCCTTTCTTCAAGATCTATACGGAGCTGCTGAACCTGCCATTCCTGGCGACGAACTCGATATCACTGCGGCAACACCATCCAAGGAGGATATCGTCAACATTGCTGAGGTCACCCAGGCCTCTACCACCAAGCCCAAGCTCCCTGGTATGGCCGTTGCCACTGGTTCCGCTGATGGACTGTCAATGGGTCAGAAGTTTTTCTTTGTTGGGGCTATCGTCGCAGTCTGTGTGCTTTTCTTGAAGTCACGAAATGGTGGGCAAAGTAACATTGTGGGTGGGCTCAAGGAGAAGAGCATGGCCTAGATAACGATGAAATGCAGAAACGTTCATTTAGTAGACTGTGATTGCGCTACATGATGAACATAAGGATAAAGGATGAATGAAGTCATTGCACCATACTACCACGACTAGAGGCACGCATCAACCCCTGTCTTGCTGGCCTGTAAAAGTGCGAGACTGCGAATTCCTCCAGGGTATGTTAACAAAGCGTATTAGTGCAACACAGACTCTTTCCTCCTAGTGCCAACGCTCCAATCCGTCAAGGCGCTAGCTAGGGTGAAGAGGGAGGATACGGAGTACTTGTAGTCCCTGCATTACCCACGGACAATGATGTATTACGGTCCAGGCACATGGTGGCTAGTAAAAACGAAAGTATTCTGTTGGGTTATCAGTACGCATGGCACTGTTGCACAAACTGGTCTGGAACCTGCACAAGAGCCAGGCAAAGCCGCCACTACATCCACCGAGGCCATGTCACAGTGCATGTCGCATGAAAAGCAAGCCGGCTGCAGCACACGACAGGATCCATATGTGACGTTCACCGCTCCCCACTCGCCACAGCTTGAGAACTCTGAGAGGGAGCGCTAGCGCCACACAGGGTCTAGTGCGGGAAGGGTTCTCCGACACGCTTTTTTAACTTACCTGCTGCGTTCTCCCTCTTCCCTAACCACCCACCCTCAAAACTATTCTGTGTGTATTACACAACCCTACAAGCACATTTTCTGTGAAGTCCTTTCTTTTGGTCTTCACTTCTTTACTTCTCGTTTTCCAGGACAGAGGCGTTCCCTTCTTTCCTGACAGAACGAGTCTCAGGCACCCGCCTGCGAGTTACGAGTTTCGTCACTTAGACCTGCTATCTTTCGTCTGTCGCTCACCGCCGAGCCAGCCGAAGCCAGCAAAACAGTAATTTGCGACTTGCATATTGCCCTCGTCTTATATACACAACCACACCTTCAGCCTACTCGACTCAACCACGCCCATCATGGCTGACCAACTCGACATGGGTCGTCTCAACATAAATGAGTCCCAGCACAACAACCAGAACGGCTTCAACGGCGAGCGTTCTGCCTACATCCCTCCCCACCTTCGCGGTCGTCCCCAGGGCGGCCCTGCACCCATGGACGGCCCGCCCCCGATGATGAACGGCGGCGGCGGTCTCGGTGGCAGCGCTTGGGGACCAGGAGGGTCAGTCAATACCCAAGACACAAAACAGGAAGGTATGCTAACGGGTGACAGTCAGGGTCCTCCCCCTCAGATGAACGGCGGCGGTGGTGCCGGTGGCTGGGCCAACGCACCCAACTTCACTCCCCGCGGTCGCGACGGTCCCCCAGGTGGTGGATGGGGCGGTGCCCCTCGCGGCAACTTTGACCCCAACGCTTACGGCAAGCCAGGTGGTGGCGGCTCTGGAGGTGCTCGCGGATCTGGTGACGGTGCCTGGAAGGACGGCAAGCACGTCCCCGGCCCGCCCAACCAGCGTCTTGAGCGCGACCTCTTCGGCATGCCCAACGACCCCTCCAAGCAGCACACCGGTATCAACTTCGAGAAGTACGATGACATCCCCGTTGAGGCCTCTGGTCAGGGTGTTCCCGAACCCGTCACACGTTTCACAAACCCGCCTCTCGACGACCACCTGCTAAGCAACATCGAGCTCTCCGGATACAAGGTCCCCACACCAGTCCAGAAGTACTCCATCCCTATCGTCATGGGTGGCCGTGATCTCATGGCTTGTGCCCAGACCGGTTCTGGAAAGACTGGTGGTTTCCTTTTCCCCATTCTTGCCCAGGCTTTCAAGAACGGCCCTTCTCCTCCTCCCGCAACGGCTCAGGGTGGCTATGGACGTCAACGCAAGGCTTACCCCACCTCGCTTGTCCTTGCTCCTACCCGTGAGTTGGTCTCCCAAATTTTCGACGAGGCCCGCAAGTTCGCCTACCGCTCGTGGGTCCGCCCTTGTGTCGTTTACGGTGGTGCCGACATTGGTTCCCAGCTTCGCCAGATCGAGCGCGGCTGTGATCTTCTCGTCGCTACTCCTGGTCGTTTGGTCGACTTGATCGAGCGCGGCCGTATCTCCCTCGCCAGCATCAAGTACCTGGTTCTTGACGAGGCTGACCGCATGTTGGACATGGGTTTCGAGCCTCAAATTCGCCGCATTGTTGAGGGCGAGGACATGCCTCCTACCGCTGCCCGCCAGACACTCATGTTCTCGGCCACTTTCCCCCGCGACATTCAGATGCTTGCCCGCGACTTCTTGAAGGACTACATCTTCCTTTCGGTCGGTCGTGTCGGTTCTACTTCTGAGAACATTACCCAGAAGATTGAGTACGTCGAGGACGTTGACAAGCGTTCTGTCCTCCTGGATATCCTTCACACTCATGGTGCTGGTCTTACCTTGATCTTCGTTGAGACCAAGCGTATGGCCGACTCCTTGTCGGACTTCCTCATCAACCAAGGCTTCCCCGCCACCTCCATTCACGGTGACCGCACTCAGCGCGAGCGTGAGAAGGCTCTGGAGATGTTCCGAAACGGACGTTGCCCCATCCTTGTCGCTACTGCTGTAGCTGCCCGAGGTCTTGATATCCCGAATGGTAAGTTCTGCCTATGCGAAATGCATGTGAGACATACACTGACTTCTTGTTTTCAAATCTGCAGTCACCCACGTCGTCAACTATGACCTGCCCACCGATATTGACGATTACGTTCACCGTATCGGTCGTACTGGACGTGCTGGAAACACTGGTATTGCCACTGCTTTCTTCAACCGCGGCAACCGCGGAGTCGTACGCGATCTCCTTGATCTCTTGAAGGAGGCCAACCAGGAAGTCCCTGGATTCCTCGAGTCCATTGCCCGCGAAGGCTCCGGCTTCGGTGGAGGCCGTGGTGGACGTGGAGGCGGCCGTGGTCGTGGCAACGCTGCTACCCGTGATGTTCGTCGTATGGGCGGCGGTGGTGGTTTCGGTGGTGGCGGTCAGTGGGGTGGTGCTCCTCAAGGCGGCTACGGAGGTGGTTACGGCGGCGCTCCCGGCGGCGGCTACGCTCCTCCAGCTCCTGGTGGCTACTCTGGCGGCGGTGGTGGCTTTGGTGGAGGCTACGGCAACCCATCCGGCCCTGGCGGCAACTCCTGGTGGTAAACGTGCATCGCACCGCTTCACGATGTAGCCAGCCCGGGACACATTTTCTTCTCTACGATACCCTGGGCCTTCGTGTCGCTGCTACCGATGGCTTGCTTTCGATTTTCTTTACTCTCGAATGTTTTCTGCGACTCCTTCCCGGTTACCGCGGATCGATGCGGAAATCAGGAATCTCATACCCCAACCAGCATATAGACAGCGACTGTTTTTTTGCGGATCTGCCTGTTTTTCGAGCTCTTCTCGCATACGATACCCTTCGACGCACATTTGTCGAGCTCGAACATAGATGGCAGGACCCTCGTCTTTCCCGGAAAGGCATGCATTACGAACATTTCACGACTTCGCTCTTCTGCAAGCATGCTGCTTGGGGAGCCATAGATTCTCGCTTTCCGAGTCGTCCACACGCGGATGACCTCTGAGCATTTCCTTATTTTACGACAAAAGCGATTCCTTTTTCCCGGTCATACCCCTCGGCGACAACGCCTTTCTCGTCGTCCTTGCGTCGCTCAGTCTCTCCACACGCGGAGGGTAGCAGCATGACCTTGTTTTGGACGACGAAAAAGTTTCCTGCATAGATGGCGTTCATGAAGGTCTATCCACGACCCAACCTTTGTACGAAGGAAGATACCCCGGTTCTTTGTGGTAACCATCATGGTGGCTGTCTTTCCAAGGCCTGCTCGGCGGTGGGATTTAAAAGCTCTTTCTGGTTTGCAGGCACATGTGCGGACCTGACCCAGTGACTTGGGTGGAAGGAATCTGATAAAAGTATAGTTTCCAGCAGATGATTAGTTACATAGACTAGTGCGGGCTGCCAACATGCGTAGCCTGTACAATGCATGCGATTTCATACTTGCAACTCTATCCTCTATTTGCTGTGATGTTGAAGATGGTAGCTCTAGGCCGGCGAGTATCATGCGATTCACATGATGTGGCCTAGTCATTTTCAGCCATTTATCTCAACTTTCGTCCATCGCCCAAGACCTTGCACCCCATACAAGGGAAAAACCGAACAGGTGAAGATAACAAGCTCTACCTTACAGCTTACGTTAGCTCCTAACAATAAAGATTATATAGACTAACAGCATTATAGACTTCTAGATTCTCTATAGATATCTATATAGCTGTAATATAATTTATTGTAGTAGAAAGAAGTACTCTGCTCTAACAAGATGTTTAGTTTCTCCCCTTGACGTAGTGTTGCAAAATGCTTCAGGATCTATCCTGATATTGGCAACTCGGGGCCGAGAGACGATTTTGGCCTCACTAGGCGGTGGCTCTTTCTCCAGTCATTACCATTCTTGCAAGACGACTGGCACTCTCGTTCTTGCCTTACGAAGCAGGTGCCGTCAACATCACTTCCTCACGCATATGCTTGTATCCAAGGCTCTCTTTGGTCATCGACATCGTCTCGCCCACACCACCCGCCAACCACTCTATTCCTCGTGCACGTACTCATCGGATATCAGCATAATTAGCACCGCATACATCTTGTTTCGCAGACCCGAAAAGTGTGGCTGAAGCTATCTCTCGCCAGAAAAGCTATCTTGTCACACTACAATGCCCGACCACCTGGTAGGCCACCCATTACTCCAAAAGACACGCGACAATCTCGCGAAATGGGGAAAATATTGCCGCACACAGTTCATAGACTGGACTGCAGAAGCGAGAGAAGAGTTTGAAGCAGACATAAATCGTACCAAGCCGTGGAATACCAGTTTGTAGGATTGCCTGAATCCCCTGCCACTATGTAAGTTCTTCTCATTTGTCGAAGTGAGGATGGGATTAACAAGTATGGTAGGTCTTGTCACTTTCTTCTGTCCTTGCGTCACCTGCGGAAAGACATGGCATCGTCTTCATTACAACGGCGATATGAGTGGGTATGAGATTGTCAATGTACCGGTAAGTATTCTCTCTTTTCTACGCCTACCTTCTATACAACAATCCAGCTCAATCTACCTCACTCTCCATTCTCTGACTAATAGAACAAAACACAAACAGTGCATAGCCTACGGCTACTCGGTCTTCTGCTGCACCCCAATCGCCCACCAATTCCTCGTCTGTATCCCAAACGCATGGCAAACATTTCGCATTCGCAGAATGGGCGATCTAGGTGGGACCTGTGCTGCAGATTGTGCAAAGACCTGGTTGTGCCCTTGCTGCTCGTTAATTCAAAATGAGAAGGAATCGAAGCTTCTGATTGAAGGGCGCAGAACAGGGTTTTGGGGTGGCGATGGCGCTGGGGCTGGTGCTGAGAGTGTTATTGTACAGCAACCGACCGGGGGTCTGGGCGAGGAGATGGTCATGCCCTCGAGCGCGCAAGCTGAAGGTGTAACATGTGCAGTGGTTGAACCTCCGGTGATCATGGAAGGCGTCGACGGGCAGCTGGCCGGATCCGAGGCAGATGCTGGATTAGAGAATACGGACGACACGACTAAAACACGACCACACACAGATGGAATCGCTGATCCAAGCACTCTGTCTGACCCGATCACGTCGGAAGGAACCCTCAACAACGAAACTTCTACTTCGCCTATCATGGTCTGCTCAGTAGCAACGACAACTATGTTCGAGCCCCCCACGCCTCCCACCGAATCGATTACGACTTCCCAACACTTCGGAATAGCACCTACTCAGGACATTCTTTCTTACGCCCCTAGCCACTCAGAAAGAAGCAAGAAGAAATGGAATTCGGATACGACAGGCCAGCGTGTCCGCCGTAAGAGTGAAAGAGTAGTTCCAAATCATTTGGATTGCTTCGTGCCGTACATGAAGTTTTTGGAGTAAGTTTGTCTACCTTGGCTCACCCAGAGACGCGAATTGAATGTGAAGAGAACGGAAGGGCTGAGTAGCGGGAAGAGATAGATGGTGGCATTGTTCTTCTTCTTCTTATTGTCCTAGGGTTCTTTTTTTTTGTGTGTGTTCCTGTTTCACGCGCCTCACGATTAGGTCGTTATCGAGGTTCCTACTTTATTGCTATAATTCATGTCTGTCTTCAATTAGGCTCCCTCTTCCAATCCCGTGACCATCCCTTGACTGTCTATTCGAGCATGACCAGAAAAGTGCAACAGTAAAAGATACATCGTAATCATTATTTCATGACTCATTATACACGTTACGTATACGCTAGATACAACACACTTCACTCGAGAGGGCACAACCTCTCCACATCAGCACATCAAGTGACAGGAAAGCCAAGATAGTAAAGGTCTGTAAAACTTACAGCCCACTCAGTCCATCCAACAACGCCGTCAGCCCACCAACACCCAATAGGGCGCCCGCCGCCGCCTTCCTTCCTGTATGACTCTTCTTTCCATACTTATCTCTCTCCCTTTCCCGCTCTTTCTCATACATTCTACTCCTCGACTTTGACCTACGTCGTCTAGGACGTTCGAGTTCAGACTCAGATGTCGTGAAGTCATCGTCGTACCGTCGGTTGCTTGGACGCATGTAGGATTGGCGGAGAGGAGACGCTTGTATGGGGTAATTCTGGTTTTGAGGCTGTGAATGTGAGGGTAAAGGTGGGTTTGTGAAAGGGGCATTGGCCGGTGGTGGTGGTGGGAAGTATTGAGGTGTTGCTGTTGTGTTCATCATTTGTGGTGGGTAGCCATTGGTTTGTGGTGGGTATTGAGGCAGTCGTGAAGACTGAGGAAGTGGCGGTTGCTGAGGGGCGTACTGATTTGGCATTGGTATCTGGAGGTTTGGAGTCCGAGAGTTGACGTTTGACTGGGTTGGTGGTGGTGGAATGAGCCCGGGTCCAGGCATTGAGAGTGATCGATCTAGTGGGGGTGGCCCAGGTGGTGGCGGGAGGTGGTTTGAGGTGTTCGAGCGGTCAAGCGGGGGGTGTGTGCTCCGAGGCACTGGTGTTCGGTTCCGATCGAATGCGCCTCCTTTCAGAATACCATGTGGCGGCGGGGGACGATTGAAAGACGATCTCCTAACTTGTGGCTGCTGAGGTGGAGTAGGTGCTGCTGCCTTTCGGTATATGTCAACTGTCCGTTCGACAAGACGCTTGACCTGTTCGAACTGTAGTGGCCGTTCGATACAGAAACATGTTTCGCCCCTTATCCTCCTGTTGTCCTTCCGCTCCTTTTGGTAAGATGTGTATCTGAAACCCGCCTCTCTGATTGCTTCCTTGCATACCCAACTCGCCATAATCTCAGTCCAGCTGCTACGCTCCAAATACGCCAGAGAGTATGCCTGGTCAGTGTTTGAGCTGACCATTTTAGCATCAACAAATCGCCAGTAGTATTTACGCGTACACAACTTCCACGGAATTTCTAGATCGGCTTCGCTGTCTTCCTCTTTGGCTTCTACCGCGGCGGCTGCCTCGACCGGCAAACTTCCCAAACTCGATCGGGGTGATGCAGTTGGGTACTGTTCATTGGTAGCTGGTGGCATACTTGTTCGTGACGTACGTGGTGTAGCGATGGGTGTTGGCGGCGTGGTGGGACCGTACTGCTTTTCCTGTGGCGGACTAGGCGTGCCATTGACCTCAGTAAATAGTGGCTGTATGCTTCCTGACCTGTGCGTTCGGCGAGCACCGTCGCCTGACAGCTTTGACGTGTGACTTTCCTCTTCGCTATCAGATTCCACAGTGGCTTGTTGAGTTTCCCATCTTTGCCTCTGCCTTTCGCGCTCTTCGTCTTGTAAGCGGCGTTCAAATAGAGGGAGGCTCGTCCATCGCTGCAACAAGTGTTCGACACGTGAAGCCGATGCAGTCAGAACTGCTGGTAATCCGTTCGCTTCAGTATATATTGATGTGTCGAGACTTGTCAAATCTTCATCCTGATACGAACGTAGGGTAGATGACCTAGGGGTTTCGCCCCGCCCAGTGATGACCAAACTCTGAGAACTGTCTCCTTCCATCAACAACAGGCGCGCATCAGATTGAGATAAATTTTCGTAGAGGTTCGAGGCTGATAAAATTGACAATTGTTGTTGAACAATCAACGTTTCCAGTTGGATCCTTTCACTATCAACAAGTTTGGCGGCTTGTTGTGGAGATACCGTAGGACGTACTCTATGGCGCTGTTAGCGTACTCCATGGAAGGAATCTGAGCCATGCGTAGCAGCCTGAATGAAGGCTAGATGCCTTATAGGGGACGGAACTAACTTTGACCACATTATAGTCTGCGCTGCGTAGAGCGTCTGTAGCAGGACAGAGAGCGTCATGCTCAGGGCCTCCAGGTGAGCAGTGAGATAGTCCAAGCTAGCCTTGGTTGAAGGATCTAACTGAGACCGAATTTTTTGAGTAGAGCGGGAAATGTCTCTTTGATCGTGATGCTTCTCATCCTCGGTTGATGAAGTCGATTCAAAGCTGGTAAGTAATGTTTGGGCTTGATCGATGACGTCGTCCAGAGTATCGATAGCCTATGTCTATAATCAGCGAGGAACGACAGAGCTTTGTCAAGTAATGTAATGACATATATTTCGGATCTCTTGCGTCTCAAGTGCCTCAATCGCACAAAACGAATTCGCAGCGACCTCAAAATCTTTATCTCATGAACTTCATTCACGACCCCCCATCGTTGTGTCGTTCATAAATCCACGGCGATCGTCTTTACGTACCTCAGGTGATGGTAGACGATCATCTTCTTTGATAATAGTCCCCAACTGCTTCAGTATTGCAGCAAATCCATTTATGCTATTCGCAACGCCAACTAAATCTTTCGCTGACCCAGGTGACTCAGCAGCAATACCGTAGAGTTTCAGCGCGAGAGCTGAGCTTCTCGAAACCACCGGTAGAATATCTGCTAACACCGCCATCTCTCTCTCCTTGAGAATTCGATTCCTAGATGGAAAAAAAGTGGCGAAATGAGCGGTGTGGAGAAATAGAGTCTTGGGGAAGAAGCACCCGAACCGAACAGAGTCGAAATCCTTCGATATGTGTTCCAAACTAACTAACCCTAGAGTTGTGTGAGGTCATAGTGTAGGAATTAATGCAGGGCTCTCATTGACCGACGACTAAATCGGGCGGAGATCACGGCTTGGTGATTGGCCAAGACCACGGCTGAAGGCAGGCAAGCACGCGAACCGTTCAACTCATGCAGGAGCGGCCACAAGGCTCCGCGAAGACCGGTACATCGTAAGCTGCAAGGCAGAGGCTGTGCGCCCTCTTCAGTGTTTCTGACAGATGGCTACATCTGCACAGGAAGCCTCAAAGGATTTTCGCCCGCATCTGAAACTCGACGACTTGCCGAAGCCCTCTGTTCCAATGCATCTGTCCAAATTCTCATCCCGAAGTATCCGCGGGCAGAATCTTCGAGCGTTGCGCGTCAACAGTTGACTAGAGGCGCGCCAATGGTGTGGCACAGGATGACGCCGGCTATACGGGATAGGGTTGGCCACATGATGGCTTTTGAGGCTCAAGCTGAGAAGAGAAGACAAGCGCGTCGTGAATCTATGCTTTGGATCCGCCTTGAGAGGCCGGTATATGGTGGCGTGAGATGGAGGATCCGGTGAGAACTTGGCTGTTGATCAGACCCGGCTTGGGCTTCTGATGGTGATGTGCTACAGGTCAGTACATGTGCGCGCTGTATTTGGTATGATTCGCGACGCGGGGAAGCAAGGCATGTGCATGATTCGGAATTCTTTGCAGCTGCAGCAATGTCTGAGGGGCTGCAAGTGTTGAAATGCGTTCGCCAAGCAAGTTCACCGGCAGCTTTGGGCAACGACGACCCATACAGACAGGACGCATGCAGTCTTCACGGCTCCGGCGAATGCAACGACAAGTGGTCATGACATTTCGGTGTGTGCCACTAGATGCCTGTAGAGGTACATGCCCAAGACGGACCATGCAAAGATGCATTCATGTCGTTTCAGATGTCTTATACACATATGTCTACATGCAATATACAGCCCCCATCCATAACCTAGTAGAAGGATCGGTTCTGGTTGGGCGACAGCGTTGCGTTCTGCCCCACGAAGTCCCAGTCAATCCTGTCCCACCACTTCTCGAGGAATGCCCTCTTGCCCCGGACACCGTAATCCTGCAACCAGACATGCTCCCATGTGTTTACGCACAGCAGTGGCACTACATCGATGCCGCCCAACGGCTTCTTGGCCCTCGAATCCTGCTGCTGCGACGCCGCACCAAACGACCCGACCTTGTTCATTCCCTGATATGAATCGACATTGTGTGTGTTGAGGTCGTGCGATTGCCGCCTGTGGTGAGCGCCTGACAGCGGCGATCCGGCGAGATATGTGGGCAAGATGCGCAGGCTGCCGAAGCTGGTGTCATTGGTCTGCACGAGCCAGACAAAGCCGGGGCCAAACATGGACTCGGCCGTGGCGAGGAATGTTTCGCGCAGTGTTTCCATGGACGAGAAGTCGCGGTTGATCTGCTTGGTGAGGTCGGTCGACGGCCGCGACTGTACGTCCGGATTGGCGTTGATGCCGCGGAAGAAGAAATGGTTGTTGAAGGCCATGCTGGCAATGTTGAAGGCGTAGGCTTTCATCGGATCGCGGGCAAAGTCTACAACGAGAGCCTTGGCTTCCTGGTTCTCGAATTGTGTACCTGCAAGAGCGACATTAGCCTCAGGCACAGTCTTGGTCTTGAATTGCATTCATCGTACCCGCTGTCGACGCATTCAACTCGTCAACAATGTGGCCTTGGTATTCGGTGTATGCGGTGTTGAAGCCCTTTGGCGAGAGCAGCCCGGGGACGCCATTCTGCTCGATCACGGCATGGTTGTCCAGTGGGGGCACCGTGTAGATGTTGCGGGCGGCGGGCGATGGTATTCTCTATCCCACGTCAGTTCACCCACGACGTATATGGTTGACAGCCCAGCGTACCCTCCAAGCCCCGGCCACAGACTGGAATGCACCCGGCCGGCGGGCCAGACACCGTGTAATCATCATATGTGTGGTGATTGTCGGGCGAGCGATCGAATTGTCGTCGGCAAGTCGTTTCTCCAAGCTCATCTTTTTCCCGGGCTCGAATCATCGCGCTAAAACCCCCATCCAATCACGACGCGTCCTCGCCACGGCAGCCCTGGTGGGCAAAACCTCGCACCCTCCAAGCGCCCGCATCACACGTTTCATCCACTCGACTCCCCGTCCATGCATAGCCACACAAACACCAGAGTCACCTGCCACTGCGACCGTGCTAGCTAAACCCTACACCCGCCATACAATGCCTATTGTCCACTCGGCGCGAAACAGAGCTCTATTCTCGGAACTTAGCCGACGAGATGGGTGGACACGATAGAGCCCAATTTTCCCATCTCGCGGTGAGGAACGTCACTCGTCTCTAGATTTTCGCAGTAAATATCCCAAAGGTAGGGCCTGTCTTTGTCTGCTCATTCCATTGTTTCGTACGTCTCTTTTCATATCGCTTCCATATCGCTTTCGGATTGCTTCCTTATCCCACTGTTTCACACGCTCAAGTCACTTCTTTGAGGTTCGCCGGTCCGACCTCTTGACCATAATACTGTCACCACGCTTCCATCTCCAAGACAATGGCTCCAGCTACATCGTCTCCCAGGCTTTCGAGGATATCCCTTGTATGCCTCTTTGCCTCGCTCATCACAGCTACACATGCATCGCATCTCTTTCTCCGTCAAGCAGAAACATGCGGAGGGAACGCAGACCTGCAGCAGTGCGGATCAGACTTCCCGTCTTCCTTTTGCTGTCCCAAGGACTCAACATGCATGGCTCTCAACGGTGGAGACATACAATCAGTCATCTGCTGCCCATCCGGTTCAGACTGCGCCTACATTCAGCCAACCACTTGCGACACCACGCAGCTGAACGCTACCCTGCACCCAGACAACCAAATGCATCTCTCCGAGACCGACGGCATTGACTTACCCAAATGTGGTGACAAATGCTGTTCATTAGGCTACACATGTCAGGGCACCATGTGCGCCAAAGACACCTCCCCATCACCGACCCCATCTCCAACATCATCCGCAAACGCAACGCCTTCCTCCACTAGCCCCGCCTCCGCATCCCAGACTTCCAATTGCCCAGCAACCGCACCCATTCAAACAAAGCAGGGCTTCGACGGAAAGTCCTTTGCAGCCGGTTTCTTCCCTGGCATAGTCATCGGCGCCCTCAGCACCTTGGCCCTGATCTGGATCATCAAGAAAAGACGCGAATCCCAGTCTAAGGAGCGCTACTCTGGCGACTTTGGCCATGTAGCTCGTCAAATTAGCGACCCCATCTACGACCCTCAACACGCTGCACGGACAGACTTCATGCGTCGGGGCAGCCACTCCGCCCACTCAAGCCCCAATTCAACAGACCGAATAGTCCAAGGCATGAAGGAAACAAACGCCAACCCACCTATCCACGGCTTCACACCCAGGATAAAAAGCATGTGGGACCGCACTCCCAAACTAAACTTTGGGTTTACGGGTGGTCTCCCATCAAATCCCGCTCCCCCCGTCCGTGCAGGAAATCCATATACCGATCCTTACCAAACCCCGCCCCCGAAACCGAAACGCATCCACTCTGCCAGTCGGCGCACGAGTTCCCTCCGTACGAGTACCCAGACATTCAACACACTACAGCCAGGACAACACCGTCCCAATGTGGCAAGGAGCGGCAGCTCAGAAACTATCGATGTCTTGATGCCTGCACCGAGTTTCTTAGCTCCGCCACAGGCACCGGGTATGCGGCGCGATAATCGCTACACAACCGACTCGGCCAACACAACATTTACTAAACTCATGGAGAGGGCGGGGTTTGATGAGAGCGCGCAGCAGGAGGTCAAGGCGTGGAGGACGCCTCGGGCTTAGACTGCGACGCTTTGCTTCATGTTTGTTCCATGATTTTCTCTTCTCTTCGTACATATATTCTACACTCTTTGATGCCTCTTTTGCTAGAGAAGGCGTTTGAGCATTTATTTCGTTATGGTAGGCTGGCAACCTCACAGCATTTGCATTTGGCTTCGGCGTTGGCTTTTCTTTATATGATACCACATAGGCAGGCCTTTAGTCGCTCTCTACGAGCTGTTCCTTTTACCAGGCGAAAATCGATATTACCATCAACATCAACATCTTCCACTGCCTCATGGTCGTACACGTCATTAGGCGTCTCATTGTCATAACTATGTATACATGTCTGAAGACTCTTTGCGTAAAATCCTAATCAAGTATACCCTGGGTATATATCCGTATCAACTCAATGCAACGCCCATGCACCTCCTCGCCCTACCAAACACTCTTAAAATCTAGTAACACCATCCCGCGAACTTCCTCCAACGATCGGCAAAGTCTCAACGAGATCACCACCGGCCATGTCCACATCAGCAGCTACCGACGCGCCACTCGATCCCACAGTACCTTCACCCGCTATCCTTGCCTCGGCAGCCTGCGCCCTCAGTTCTCGCCCAACTTCCCTCTCCAACACAGCTTGCGTCCTTTTCTTGTGGTTCCCAAACAGACAATGCCAAAGATCGTCTTCCTTGACAATCTCACCTTCGCCCTTTTTGCGCATAAGTTGCTTAAACGGTGCGTTTTGGAGTTCAGCCGAGTTTGCAGCATCGAGAGTCTGTTCTTTGAGAGCGGGGGTCGTGGATCCGGATTGCGTAGGTAGCTTGGACAATGTATTGTTGCTAATGTGTTCGAGGCGGCGGGCAACAGATATCTCATAGATGGCTTCTTCTACCGTGTCGCTAATGAGGTACATGAACACTGTTGTGGGTCGCTGCTGCCCGATTCGATGGACGCGACTAATGGCTTGGAGTTCGATTGCGGGATTAATGAGTGGTTCGCAGAGGAAGACATACGTTGCGTTTACGAGAGTTAGGCCCGAAGAATCGGTTTTGGCATCTAGGAGTAAACATTCGATGCTAGCATCAGCCTTGAACTTCCGGATACCGTCTTTGTCGGTGATGTTGCTGGCGCCAATCTTCCACTTCTTGAGTGCATCGCGAAGCACTTCGAGGAAGTCCCCGAATTGAGAGAAAACGATCGATTTGGCGCCTGGGTCGTTGTTACGGATCCATATTAGGTGGCGCGCGATCATGTCGATCTTTGTGCCGTATGAACCCTCTAGATCGATCATCTTAATCTCTTTCATCGTTGAATCGGAAATATCAGAATAGATAGATGTGGTTGACGAAAAGTCTGGCGTGGAAGCTTGTGTCGGGCTGGCAGGTGTGGTTGTCTCTTCCTTCGCTCTGATCGCGATTTGTTTGAATGTGATGTCTTTAAAATCGGACCCAGATAGCTTCTGCTTACAAGTTGGGCAGGATCTGTGCACCTGCCACCATTGATTGATGCATTCTTTGCAATATTTGTGACCGCAAGCTGTCAAGACGCCAATCTCGATGTCGTCCCTACAAATGATGCATTCAGCTGCCGCTTCATTTTGGTTCTCAGTCCGGAGATGCTTCAGATAAGTGCACTTCGTCTTGAAGCCATTAGCAAGATCCTTTTTTCTCTCTCGCAATTGATTGGCCTTGTCGAACTCGCGCGAGTCGAATGTGTTGTCTAGTTCCTCCTTGTACTTTGCAACGGTATCGGAGATGTGTTGGAATTGCCGATAATATTCCAGACGCTGGTTCATGGTACCTCGGTACATTTCCTGCTCCTTTTCAAGTTCGGTAATGGCCTTCGCTTGTTCTGTGACAACGGCCTGAACCTTGGCATTTTGTTTCTGAAGAATGCCAAGTTCTGAGGAAGCCCGAGCATCGCCGCTGTTGGCTCTCCATTGCAAAGCAGTGATCAGCGAGCGAATGCTAGATACAACACCCTTCAAGGACCCAGCTTGCAACTTCGCCTGTAATCCACGTCGTGTATTGATAACTTCAAGCAGAAGTTGAGGCGCGTGACCTCGATCACTGTCTTCGTCCCCTTTCAGGGCTTGTTTTTCGGCAGCCTTGAGCTCGTGTTCGACAAGATTATCCTGCAGACCGTTGATAGCAGCATTACGGTCCGCAACAAGGGTTCGAAGAGCCATGATGTAAACGTACAGCTCGTCCTGAGCTTTGAGAGAATCGTCGTACTCTTCACCCGTCGTCTCCTTGTCGTCGTCATCATCCACCAGGCGTGTTAGGAGAATGTCAACAATCTTCGCACGCCATGTCTGTATCAACTGGGCTTGCTCGTTCAGATAATCGCTGAGGTTGTCCATCGTATCGAGAATTTTCCGGGCTTCGATACCTCCCAGATCCGGAAGGTCAGCTATTGTAGGTATCTGGTGGAAAGGCTTTCTTGAATCGACTTTAGCCATTTGCTGCTGCGCTCTGCCCTTCGATTCCTTCAGGAGTTCACGGCGAATTACCCTGGCCGCTTCGTAATAATCCGTCTCCAATTTGTCTTTCTCGCGCCAGTCATCTGAGTCTGGCTCTGTCAATTGTGGATTTTCTTTGATCTGATGCCAGGCGGTGGCGGTAAAGAATTGAGCTGCATGTTCAAGCTCTAGAAATGACCGGAGCGATTTGCGCAGAACTGGAATGCGACCCATATTGTCTCCGTCGATGTCTTCGTCTTCATCAGCCCCGTGGAGGCCACCTGTGGATACGCGGCCTAGCTTCTGCTGCTCCGCTAGTAACTCAGCTCTGCATATCGCAATATATGATTGTGCCTCAGTCCGCGCTTTATCATAGTATTCAAGCGACGACTTTGCACGATTGGCGAAGTTTCCTGCGTATGCTTGGATGTGACCCATCTTGATCAGACACAGAACCATTTCGCGAGCCTCTGCCTTCCACTTTGTGTCGTTCTGCTCTATCATGACCTCTAAAACTTCGTGCACGGTACGCAAGGCACCGTTCTTTGCACCTAACGCTTTCTTGTTCTTTCGACCTACGTTTGCATGGAGACAGGTCTGGCGCAATCTTATTAGCCACTCTCGCATGCGCTCGACAACCTCTGGGTGGGTCTCATCGCGACCTTCTTCTTTCGGTTGCCCTCCGGGGGTGAGCCAGCATGCATCGCACATTTGACGCATCATTTCATTGTAATGCTGCTCCTCGATGGTCGTGAACGGAACAGTGATGACAACACGTTTCTGCGGTGGTATTTGAAGGTCATCACGAACCCTTGCTTTTGTGTTTCGCACAGCAATCTCGTTGAAGATGCCTTTGAAAGACACCTTGTCTAGACGAGTCCAGGCCGCCTTGTTGTTCGCAAATGCATCGCACCTAAGGAAGATCAAGAGGCCACGTAAATCCTGGACGTCTTTGCGAAGAGGAGTTCCGGAAACCGCCCATGCATTACATCTGGGGATGATTCGAGCTACTTGGGCGGCCTGACTGACCCCGCTTTCAACCATCTGCGCTTCATCTAAACAGACCCTCCACCATGAGATGCCGACAAGGGGGCTATGCCGGCGGTCCTGACGTTTTGGACGTCGAGAGCTGCGATCAGGGGGAGGTACAGCGTGGTGGATCTCTTTCGAAAGGACTTGATATGTCGTCACTACTACATCGTGTTGCATGAGATAGTCGACTGTGGCTGTGGCATGGTCTTTCTTTGGTGCAGATTGAGAGGGGAGACCCTTGTAATGGCAGACCTTAAGATCAGGAGCATGAGCATGTATTTCGCTCAGCCACTGTTCCAGAATCGAAGGAGGAGTAATGATTAGTGTAGCGCCTGAAGGCCTAACCTGAGCTCCAGTGTATGTATCATAGATGTTACCATCGAGGATGTCGCGCTTGTGATGGGATATGAGCGCGATTAGCTCAACGGTTTTACCTAAGCCCATTTCTTCGGCGAGTATACCACCGCGCAGCGACTGTAGGGTGTCGTCCTTAGCTGCATCTAAATTGGTGACTATAGTGCCCCGCAGCTGACTGACGTAGCACGGTACTCCTGCCACATCTTGTGTCTGCCTAAATGATACTGGTGGTGAAGTGTTGACAAAAGGCTCCAGTAAGCCAGAAGATGAGAATGCAACGCCTTCTCGACGCAAGAGCCAATCAACAGTCCTTTCTTGGAAAGGCAGAAGCTTGGTGTCGATCAAACCTTGTTTGATAAGCGGTGAAATCTCTGTGTTCGCGGGTGGTACATGTACGGAATCGTAAAAGTCGGATAGGGTCCAAGACTTGTCGCCTCTCGGAGCCGCATCGCTCATGTATTTCGAGAGGAGCTTCAGGTCCGCGTTCATGTAATGGCCTCGAATATCTGGATCCTCAACCACAGATATGTTCAGAGTCCACCGTATCTCCACTACCAACTTGTATTGAGTGCGCCCGTGCGTGGGTGGGTGCAGCTGGCATCGACAGAAAGCCGCGCGAGAAACAGGTTTGTGTCTTTTGCCCTGAAGCGAGGTGGCAAGTGCAGAGGCATTCCGTAGGTGGGGTATGACCGAATCTATGAAAGGTGAGGGAGTTGTGGCAACCAGGTCGACACCCGTTTCATTGACAGCGTTCCAGAGTTTCATCTGAAGAGTATCTCCTGTGTGGTCTCTCCGACAGGATTCAAGCTCTAGATTTACGGGTTCTTGCGATATGGCCGGGGTATACGTGATACTTAAGGAGTCTTGCGACGGGGTAGGCATGTTCTGTAGACATGTTAGTTGGACTCCATAAGAATCGACCAGCCTACTCACCAAATCGATGGATACGTTGGCTAAGACAACACTATTCTTTTCGTTAGAGTCCGCCTGCGGCCGTACTGGAATGGCATTGCCATTTCTGGATTTGCGTCGTTTGGGCGAAGGTTCTTCTTCTTTAAGCGCAGTAGGTGCTGCGAATAAGTCTTGTATAGTACGGATGCAACTCGAGGCATCTTGCGCCGGAAGCGACGATGGCCCGCCAGGACTCCGGACGTCGGCCACAGAAAAGGCAGTTGCACGCAGCAGCTCAGCACTGCCCTCTAAAGAAGACATAATGGCTGTCGACTCAAGGTGTCAAGAGAAAGCCGTGGTATAACAAGGGACGAGGCGAACGCGGGTATGAGCGAATGTCGGCCATCGCGGACACGCTAAGATAAGTGATAAACCAGGGTCAGCCCCACAACCAGGCATCAGTTCAAGATGGTCCGCCTTCACTATGACCCCTCACCGCTAACCTTCTCTGTGAAGAATTCTTCGCCTCACGCGTGAATACAACAAATCTGGAGAGATTAAATCAAACGTTAGGCTTCGTGCCAAAAGTGACTGTTGGTAATAACTAGCTAGTTGTCTCTTTCATCTACATGGTTGAAGCAATCTCCAAGTTGCCATTGCTCCTGCGCCAATGACGTGTTCCAACCACTCATAAGGTAGGCTGTTCTATATGCGCCCTAACAATGGCTGTCTCTTTGCTCAAAGAACAGGCACGGAAGTGTACCAAAGAGACATATATAATCCTGTACCACAACTGAACACATCGTTGGAGATGGCCCGTGTATGCGTGATGCCGTCGGCTGTCCATGGTCGGATGATTGCGATCTAGTGGCTCACAGTGGAGAAGTCTTCGGCGCGGGGCGTTTGTCATCAGGCGACAACCGAAGTCCCGTCTGGACAGCCGAAGGTTCCTGTGTTCGGGCCTTCGCTTTGTACTCATCCTTCTCGACAATCTTGACGTCCCTAGGGACAGATATGAGCATAGTCTCGGTGTTACGCAATGTCAAATCCATATAATTCCGTAGCAGGTGTTTACTCCGTGGCCAGCACTCTCTTGATCGGTTCTGCAGCCTCGATGAACTTCTCGACCATGGTATCTAGCTTTGTGAGATCGTCCTTCCCCTTCTTGACCTCTGCGATGAGCTTCTGCTTCTGCTTGAGCTTCTCCTGTCGTGCCTCTTCGAGCTTGAGACGGACTTGGTGTTCGTGCTCGATGCGCGCGGTCATGAGGTCGTGTTCGGTCGATTCCTTGTGTTCGGGGAACTGTTCAAGGAACTCTTCGCGAGAGATAAGTGGCAGTTTCATATATTTGTGGCTGTACAGGTATCAGCTTTGAACGCAAACTTTCGCATAGGGACATACTCGTAGTTCTCGGCAGCAGAAATCTCAGAACGCAGCGACTGCTCCTCATACTTGAGATTGTGAAGGCCCAGAATCAGCGCATCATTCACAGCCCTGTCATCGGATGTCTTCGCCTTCTCCTCGCGCACTTTTAATACGCTTTGGCGGTAGAGAGTTTTGACAATTGACAGTTGCGCGCGAATGTACTTCTCCCTCTTCTGAATCTCTTGCGTAGCTTTCTTCTCCTGATCTATATCTTCGCGCGAACCCGACTTCGGGTTCTTTGGGTGAGCAAGCTGGTAGTCTACAAGCTCGTTGATGAGCTTCTTGAGGTTCTGCACTTCTTTATGGAGGCGCGCATTGTGCGGCGTCTTGAGGAGATCGGTGACGTTGAAGGAAGAAAGATCGGCAGGCATCGCATCTTCGGATCGCGCAATGGGGAGCTGCTGTTCGCTCATATTGAAAACCTTTGCGGGTTGTGGCCGTTACTGTTGTCGTGCCGTTGTTCGCGGTCATCGCGAACAACGGCACTAGTCATGCCTTGGCACAACAGTCACATGATGTCGTGTTCCTTTGGCGTCCGCTGTCACCCAGGCACCAGAGCTGCCGTCTTACATCTCCACAACCAGGCTGAACTCTCGGTAGATTTCACAGCACGTCCAATAAATTGCTTAAGATCTTGATCGCGCCACATCTGATCGATCCAGGTAAGCGACGCGCAAGACGAGATGAGATGTGTACTAGATCCTGGCCCTTTTGATCCCATAGCGCGCCACATATGTCCTCGCCTATCGCCTTGAAGCATCCTGAAGGGATTTCTACATTGAGCAAACCACGCATTAGATCGATCGTTCTCAACGCACTGGTCATACGTTCAACCAGTGCAAGTGCCAGCACTGAGCATGTCACGCACACACACGGACCGTGGCTGCGAGGCTCGAGGGTCGTCCTGCCTCAGCTCAGGTAACCCGGTATCGGGGACTGTGATATATTCTACTACCTGCATATTGTGCGTTTCGAAGCTACGACCGAAGTACAAGGATATACACAAGTTTTCCAAGCTGGGCACCACTGCAAGGAGGCCGTTTGGTGGAGTGGAGAGCGACAGGCCTCATATCTCGGGTTGCGGTACCGATGCTGTCGTTACCTTTCAAAGCACTCGCCAAGCGCAAAGACTCCGTGCTTCCGAGTCCAAGCTGACTCGTCTTCTATCGTCATGCCAAACCCTTCCTCAGAACTCCATCCTCGACCTTGCACAGCTGTGCCGCTCCATGACACGCTTTTTCTTCATTTTAACCCGTGAGCGACGAGATTCGTCACAGATACTTTGCCACCAAAGTTCATGTCCGTTGGAAAGCGACCCGAGCCCGTACATCGGCCAAATCAATATAGATCCGACGAAGTCCCATTCAGCTAGCAGAAACGGCGATTTGTTCAAGAACGGCCCAGAATTCCTGCCTTCGCAGGTACTGGGCGCGCACTATCTATAGCGCGGTCCGCGGTAGAGCGTTAGCGCCATACTAGGCTGCCTAGGATCTGAGCCCGAGATGAGAAATTGCGGAGGATTTGCATGACCGCAGGCGCCCAAGGTTTGCTTTTCCATGAAGATCATTGCAACGTTCAGACTTTGGGCCACGGCCAACGTCTCATTTCAAACGGCCTGAAACGTCGAGAGACACCCGACTGGGTCATACACGACTCACTGTGAGCTTCTTTATCAGCAAGCTGCCGGGTACCTTCTTCCTCGGCAAGAGCACGCAACGTGCTTGGCTGGAGACCCGGGACTAGTGAGCCAATCTTTGCCCTTTGGTATCTTGCATCACCGCAAAACCTAGTTTGGGACCAATTATATCGGACATCCATGAAAGACATCTTGACGGCTTCGACACGCTCATGGGCTGGCTAGGCCTTCCGCTACCCTCGCGGACGAAGAATCTCAGGCCCACACTCTGATTATTCAAATTTTAAGACCTTGTCATTTGTCGAAACGGATTTTGAGCATAGCGGAGATATGTCCGATGAGGTCAGGCCTCGCTGTGGCTGTTGGTGGCACCGACCATAGATCGATTCTGTGCGGCACAGCTAGCGATACGATTTCGCAACCAGGGGTAGACGAAGTTTCAACGAAGCTTCGGCGACCCTTCTGGCAATCCCTAGAGCACCGAAGCGCCTCTTCACGGGGCGAGGAGCTTTAGGTTTCTGGAACGTCACCACACTCTAACGAAACGGCGCATCCTTTACTCAATTGTTGTACGTCGGGCCGTGCGGCGCGAAGACACTTTGCGCGCGTATACTGCATGCAAAATCATCACGAGTGGAGCTAGACCACGCGGAAGGACACGACCGACGGACCCTAGATGGGAATTATCAGTGTGTGGCTGGTAGGCAAATGCTCATTTGCTTTTCCCGTTACGTTCGGCGCCTTGTTCATGCAACCACGACTACACCCATGCGCAGTTCGTTTGCGGGATTGAATATCAGCGGGAGATCTCAAATGACTTGCATCAAGCGGCTATGCAAGCTACTGAGTTCTGCGTCGTTCACTATCATAAGTTCTCGAGATGCTATCTTGTATGGCAGTCATAAAGTAGTTGGAGGGGTTTCAGCTCCTCGCATGACCAACGCCTAGTTCATACATGCATGCAAGCAGCACGAGGCAGCCATCTAGGTGTGGACTAGAGTTCCGAGAAGATCAGCCCGCACGATGCTCGGCTAGTAGTAGTGTGGCATGCAGCTGTGCCAGCAGGCACAATCTGCAGGCTGCAGTCACAACTATCAGCTAGAAGGGAGCTGCCGGCAATGGAAAATGATATTCACTGGTGCTACAGTTTGCTAAACTATATGGCGCTCGACATGTTCCCGAATATGGGCTGCGGCCCACAGCACCGACCGTATGTTTTCCCCTTATGCACGCGCATTTTCACGTGGAATGGCAGGTGTCATCTAGGATAACCCTAGGACAACCTAGGGCGTTGCCATACAAATCTTGGCACTAACCCCGGCGAAGGCGATAACCCAAACCTTATTCCGGGCCTTTAGAGCCTCCGCTACAAACTTAGGGCTATGACACGACGCGATTCGCCCTGGCCGCGCCTCCTTGACTCGATGCTCATGCGGGCTAGAGCAGGCGGACGGCCTGGCTTACCACGGTATTTGCAGTGGGCCAGAGATAGTTCTTAGTCAGGGCCCTCGAGTGCACTGTAAAGAAGCCTCATTGACCCGCTTGCTCGTCTCTTTGATTTCCCCAGCATTCGTTCATTTTTACCATCTTCGTTATGGCTCCAGCAAAAGAAACGTCGGTTGATCTGTGCAAGCGGGTCAATGCACAGGGAAACACCATTGCCATCCGCATGCTCGAATATCTGAGCACTGCAAAGACACCTATTCATGGCTTCGAGCCACTCGCCAGAGAGTTCATTGAGCTCTGCCAAGTATTATGGTCCATCGAAGCTGGAGTTACGGAAGCGTCCAAGACACGGAGTGGATTCCCAGTCGAGGTATCTCAAGAACTTGACAGGAGGGTCCGTCAGGTTAATGAAGAGTTCTCTGTTCTGGCCCAAATGGTTAACAAATGTAAGTTTGTCTGGTTTCTTGAGTTCTTCATTTCTGAACTTGAATCTTCAAACAATTACGGTGAATTATTGCTGACGGCATTAGTTGTCGACAAAGAGAACCACAAAGGCGGATTCGGTATGAAGTTCCGAATGATGTTCGCCGATACAGACGTTGAAAAGATGCGCCACACACTTTCACGGAGCCGTGACTCCCTCAAAGTCAGCTCTGCCATGTTCAGGTGGACACTTGGCGATGCACGAGCTGATGCCTCCATGGGTATTGGATACGCCGGACTGATTGCTGCATTGGAGCGATTGAACCCAAGCAAAGCCTCCAGCCTTCCGCCTCTACACCCAGCGCCGACATCTGATCTTCCACCAACACCTCCAACGAAGGCTCCAAGCCATCATGGAGATCACCCACTCTTGCCACCTTCACATGCTTCGCACCGTATGGACAGACCATCTTTGAATGAACTTCGCCATGAGGAGGGTCACTCATATGACAGTCACAGTTCACATTTCAGACATGAGGACACTGGTCTATCAGCCGGAATCGTAGATCTACACAAAAACTGGCGCGCGCCAGCCAGTGCGCGTTCAAGCGAATCAACAAGAGATACAATGTACCATCAGAATATTCGGCATGAGGATCCTGTGTACGAGGACTATGCTTCGCACTCCAGCACTCGGTCACCCACAATGGAAGAAAAACTACATGGTCTCAGCGTCAGCGAGCGCTATATGGACGACCATCACTCTTCGTCTAAAGTCGACTCTGCCATCACATCGCCGCACTGGGCACCTCGCCAGAGTGGAGGCTCAAAGAATGTTGGTGGCAAGGCAGCACTATTCAATGCTGTTGAGCAGAGGAGACATCGCATGCTAGAGCAGCTTCTAGACGGTGGAGCTAAGGCTGAACCTCACATGGAGTCCGCGATGCTTCGCGTCGCTGCACAGAATCAGGACGCGGAAAGTATCATGCTACTTCTTCGATATGGCGCAGATGCTAATGGTTTCGACCGTGAGGGTGTTACTCCCCTGTTTGCGACAACTCGTTCTCAGTGCCTTGAAAGCGCGAAGATACTCCTCAAGCACGGAGCAGATCCTAATCTGTCTGCCGGCCCTGATTCCGAGTCACCTCTAGCACTGGCTGTGTCTCAGAATGCTATTGAATTCGTCCAGCTATACCTCGCCAACGGTGGCGATCCTGGTTTCGTCATGGAGAACGGTTCTACAGCACTCGTCTCAGCTATGAACAAGACCACCTCGCCCAAGTGTGTCGAGATGCTCTTGAGCAAGGACGGTGATGCCAATGCGAAGAATGGAGAAGGCACAACTGCTTTGTTCCAGGCTATCCAGGCGAACCGTGTAGATCTCATGACGGTGTTGCTCGATCACGGAGCGAATCCCAACCTTCCGGGTCCTAAGCATCCACTCTGGCCATCCACTTACAAGCCCAAGTGCCTTCAGTTGCTGCTATCTCGCGGTGCTGACACCAAGAAGACGCCTGGTGTCATGGAATTGGCTTCTAGTTTGAAGAAGCTGGACTCCATCAAGATCCTTATGGAAGCTGGCGTATCTCCTAACGTCCGGAAAGATGGCGTCTACACACCACTTTGCTCGGCCATTCGTGATAACAGCCCCGAGATTGTTACGTATCTGCTAGAGCATGGTGCAGACCCAAACTTCAACGCAGCGGAATACCCAGCTTTCAAGAGTATTACACACAAGCGCACACATTTCCTACCGCAACTGGTTGCAGCTGGTGCAGACCTTAACAAACCTAAAGGTATCATCGAAACCGCTGTCAAGTTCAACGACAAGGACGCGATGATCTACCTGCTCGACCAAGGCGTCAACCCCAACGATCGAACACCGGACGGATGCACACCGCTCACCACTGCTATCAACGACGATCATGGCGAGCTCGTCGATATCCTCCTTTCTCGTGGCGCGGACCCAGCTATCCGTGGAAAGGACTGGCCTCTGTGCATGGCCGTCAAGCGTCCCGCCATCCTTAAGAAGCTCCTTGCTGCAACTCCCAACCCGCGCGCTTTCCGCGGTGTCGTCGAGATGGCTGTCGTAGCCAACCAACTTGAAAGCATTAAGCTCCTCCTTGCAGCAGGCGTCAGCGTCGAAGACAAAAACTGTGGTGTCTTCTCTCCACTCACAACAGCCATTCGCGAGGAGCGTAAGGTCATTGTCCGCTACCTCCTCGACGTAGCCAATGCCGACCCCAACGCCCCCGGCGAGCATCTTCCGATCGTCAAGGCCCTTCGCCGCTACTCCGGCGACACAGAAATCATTCAGATGCTGCTTACACGTGGCGCTGATATTAACAAGATGCACCGCGGCTGGAACGCGATTTTGCAAGCTGTCGAGAATGGAGACGCTGAGATCCTCAAGCTTCTCATCGACATGGGTGGCCCTCCTGACCTCCAATTGCAGGACGAAGCCGGCCGGGCCGTCATCGACATTGTTACCGAGAGGGGCTGGGAAGAGGGCCTTGCACTTCTTTTTCCGAATGCAACTACCCCTCCAAAGGCCAATGTGTCAAAGGCCAGGTAGTAGGTAATCCACCACTGCTTTCTTCTCTTGTTACTTTGCGGCGAGCAGAGTGCTGACTGGCCGCAATAGTAACAAGAAGAGTTTCTCTATCTCAGACTGGCGCTGGATGAGCATAGAACTTGAGAAAGGCGAGATGAAGAGTAGTGATGACGAGGATGAAGTTCCAGACGACTGTAGTCAAGCTTCAAGTGAGCTACTGCATGTGTGATCGGAAGTTCATTCCATCTGATCGCGTTTCATTTGTCGGTAATGGAAGTAATGTTGGCTGGGACGTTTGGTCTGCTTGTGCATTTTTGCCACGGAGTTCTCGGTATACCACCTGTTGTTTAGCATTTCCTCTCTTCTGTTACTCATGACATGGGAGGACTTGGAGCGCGCGTTCAACTACCTAATCGGTAGCATCTTTTTCATTTGTTTTGACCGAGACTTTATTCCTATATGTCATTCCTTCAATACACGAATACACATACAATCAGACTTGATCTCCGTCTTCCCCAATCTTCACAGACCACCGCACCCATCCGTCACATACCCCTCTTCTACACACCACCTCATAATAATCAAGCATTCCTCGGTCCGAATACCTCCTCATTCCAGGCGTCCATCCAGGCGTCTCTAGCTCAAACTTATTACCCTGCATCAAGCAACATTACCCTAGTTCGCCACACGTCCATCCGCCTCCACTTTCCAGACTTTCGGGACATACCAAAGCTTACCACTAGCACGAAATGATGGAATTGGAGGCTTGAGTCTACTCGCTTTCGCGCTCGCGACAACGCACACATGCGGAAATGCGTTATCTTAGTGTAGGTCTAGAAATGTAGACAGAACTTAATCGGCGATCGCAATTGCGCCACTGCCGTTGCGGGTCGTTAGAAGTAGATCTTGGTAACTGGAGGGCATACGGCAGGTACGGTTGATGCGCAAAGGCCATTCGGATCTCTTCCGCCTGGAATGTCGGGACGGGAGTAGATTACTTAACATTGTCCGTGTTCTGGAAATGGCCTTTACTTGGCATCTGAATGGAGCTATTTGTTTTGAGCGCTGGCTTGCCCTGGCTAGAAGTCTCCTTCATGTCATAAGGCGAGCAGGTGACAGTATTCGTGATCAGTATACCCGAGCGCGAAGGCAGTTGCAAAAGAGGAATAACGCAATCGTAATTCGCTGCACATCACAACACATAGCTTTAACAAGAAATGGCATGCAAAAGTGTAACATCATTAGACTACTCATGATATATGCTGCTGTTGCTGCTGCTACAAACAACGACGCAGGCCTCCAGATCTCCAAGAAAAGAATGTGACATTGCGTGACGAAACCGAAGGGTATAAGAATGGATCGGTTTCCCGTAGAAGCGTGAATGCGGTGAAGTTCGTAAAGTCGTAGACCAGAAAAATTCATCCAACGTATTTTGTATGGCGCGAAGTAGTGAAGGGTGAGCATGAGCCTGACCGCGAAGGCTCGAACGCGACAAAAGAAAAGGTGTAAAGGACTATCACACAACACAAAGATTGTGAAAATCGCGTCAAAAGGACATCCTCAAGTGGATACTGCAAACGCCCGCAGTGCTCGGTGGTGGACTCGAGAAGGACGTTAAGCCTTCCAATCAACCAAAGCGACCTATACGCTGGGAAGCCAGAAGGAAAGCAAGAACTGTCCCACAAGGCGTGAAGTATACTTCGTCTGGTTATCACTCGAGATGCTAACCGCCTGGCGTTGTTGTAGGAAATCAACTGAATTCTCATTAGCAACATATTCAGCCGGCATGCCCACGCCGGAGCGGCATTCGGTGTACTCACTGTTCTCCTTGACTAACTGCGCAACCTGCCTCACAAAGTTCACACTGTTTGCATCCCCAAAACCCACCTCTTTTTCCCAGTCATGATCTGCATCACGCATGGGATTATGCTTGCGGTTGTACTTCCATCGGAATATTTGCTGCACAAAATGCATCCGTTTATCGATCTCACGGCACGCGATATCCGCCTGGCTCTGAGCATCTCTTTGATCTAGGCCCTCTGTGGTAGCCTTGGTAGACATGACAAGATGTATGGTCTTTTGCTGGTCTTCAAGTGCCATGCACATTCCTAACACTGCAATAAATGCCGCAAGCCATTTGTCACAACCTTTGGAAGATTTGAAGATCTGTTGAAGCTTATTGAGAACAGTGGTTTGGATCGAGCGTTGAAGGCGTGAGAAGAAGTATTTGAGTTGCCGGTTGGTCATGCGCGGCGATGTATAGTTTTCGACGTAGGAGTTGTGGCCGCTGTACGAGTGCATACGCGATAGTGTATCGACTTTCGTTTCCTCGGCGATAGTGAGCGTATGCGACATGATGAATGTTACTACGATGAGGCGGAAGATCTCGCGCAGTAGCTTTGCTTCGTCGTCCGACTTGGGTTTTACGCGCGTCATCAACTTGAAGAGTTTCTGCTGGAAGTCGTTGTCGTCTTCCATCCAACAGAGTTCGCCAAAGGCATCAAGGTGGTGGTCGACGATTTCGGTGATGTATCGGTCGTACTTCTTCTCTTCGTTGTGGTTGATGTGTACCATGCCCAAGGCTGGGCTTTGCTTCTGGATTGCGACTCTTGTGTGCGTGACAGGATCAGTCTTGTATTGGATCTGTACCAGTAGGGCATCTCCACGGGGTATAAACTCGTACACTTTCACTGGTATCCGGGGCATGCTGTCCTGACCACATGTCATCATCACGGTTAGTTCGACGCTCCCCCATTGCTGGATGTACTGAGTCACAAAGTGCGTCAAGTTCGCGTCCTCATGCATCTGCGTGACTAGAGAAGGTAGAAAGTACGGCGACAAGTCGATCAGCTTCAGCCGGTTGCATCCAAGGCCGCAATCGGCATTCGGTCGCTGTGATCGCTTAAAACAGCGCTCGCATATATCGCCTGGCCCACATTTATCTCTCTGCAACACGCAGTGCCAGCATGCAACGATCTTGCGCATGTCATGCGCTGCTTTGGCAACAGTTGGCTCGAGATGGGTGCCTAACGCCCTGCCCCCAGACTTCGCCGCTAATGCTTTTTGTGCTGCACTCTGGGACGATTCTGGCTCAGGAGATGCATCAAAGCTTGTCTCTGGCACACCGCTCATGACGGAGTAATCGACTTTGATAGGAGGTTGTTGGGCTTGTTGTATCTGCGACAGTTGTTGCATATGAGCATATGGTGGAGGCTGATACTGGTCGAACATCATTCCAGGGTCAGAATGCTGGTACGAGGAGTACATGCCGTCGGAACTTCCTGGACTGGGTGCAGAAGGGCTAATCTCTGGCTGGTACGGGGACCTTGGAGGGTAACCTGTTGACGATGCTGTCGACGGTGGGGCAGGGAATTGGTTGCTAGTGATGTAACTATCTGTAAAAAGACTAGACGATGCGTTGTAGTTGACGAAGTTCTGCTGGTCAGGTGGTGGTGATGCCCGCGTTAGTTGCATCTCAATCGATTGATGAGTCGGTAGTTGCGTCCGTGGTACATGGTCGTATGAGTGATGAGGATGGTTCTGCCCTTGCGGGAAGTACAGGTCCCCTTGGAACGATGTAGTAGGCTCGCTGGGCGAGATCAAGGAGGAAGGATCCGTGTATTGAGCTGCCCATGAGTCTACATCGATCAAGTAATCTGAATAATTGATATGGTCGCTCGCAGGGTCGAAAACGACATGACCGGATCGAGGGACCATCGAAGAACGCGAAGGTGCTTGTCCGTTCCAAGGGTCATG